GTTGGAGACACTGAAGGAAATGGCATCGAACCGGCAGCAGTGGCGTTCTTGTTGTCGTTTCTTATCAGGTCAGAATGCTTGAAACGGGGTGTATGCAAAGTTCGATTTCATACTCTGTGTGCTGACGATAGAGGTTCACCTTCTTCCCCCTCCCTCAAAATAGATCCACTCCCTGTCCACCTTAAATTTTATCACTAACCTTGTATGCATTGTGAGTTTGGCAGCGGTCAATGAAGTTCGTCTCACTGTATTTCGCTGTACGATGATGTACTTTCTTATGCTTACAAATTTTCCATTGAACAGAGACTTTTTCTTTTACCTTCCCTTTTATTTTACTTTGTTACACTGTTTTCTGTGCTATTTCTTGATAATACAACGTGGAGTACGGGAAGAGGATAATCCGACCACATAATGGGAATTATGAAAAAAACGTTCAGCCTGAGTGAGTTGTATATTCAGTATTTCAGTTTAAGAATGATTTAATTCGGACGATTTAATGTACCATGGTGTTGTAGCCCTTGCTATTACAGATTACCGAAAATTAGAATTTCGAGTACAGGAGGATCCGATTCATTCTCATGGAGTGAATTCGTCATATATAGGGCGTGAACTGAAAAGCTCGGAAGTACTGGACAGCTGTTTCGCCCTGATTGGGTCTCATCAGCACTGCGAACCCATCGACCCAACTGAAGGTCGAACTCGGGACTTCACAGGTAGTAGAATAGAAGCATGTTAACCACGTGGCTACCGGGTAACCGACCAGACCGTTTCTCATTTGGAACATACCTACAAACCATCGTTGCAAGCTTGTTGCGAGTAGTAGTAGCGGCAGATTCGGGATGCTGGACGGTAAGCTTCCGACTGGATTGTACCAGTTAGGGACCGGGTCGTTGAAGCGAATTGTCTTACATTAAACCCCCTATCAAGAGGTAGGTGAGTGAAAATCTTCACTTTTTGTTTGTGAGCATTCTCTTTATACATTTGTTAGGTACGTGCCGAAGTTGTCTGCCAATCTCATTCTATCTGCCGCCATTAGTGTTCCAATGTTGTAAGATAGAATATTGAAAATTAGGAAGATCGCTGCAGTTTGAAGAGCGGTAAACGGTACAAAAATAGTGGTTGAAAAGAGGGAATCGAAGTTTCAGTCACATAAGCAGGAAATCACGATTGGAGAAATCTAGCTGCAAAAGTCGGGAAGACACCAGCTTGGGAAGAAAAGAAGAGTGAAGGAAGTAGTTAGGCAACTGAAGATGAGTAGAATCTGACAAGTGAGAGATTGGTATCTCAGTCAAACATACAGCCAAGTGGGGAAGAAAATTGGAGAAAGTGATGTACAGAATTAACATTTCGATTTAAACCACGAATGGTAGTGAGGGCTATGGAGTGATGAGAGTTCGTAGGCAGAGTGTGCATTCTGTGATTTGTGAGTTGTGTAGTTCATTTGTGGCGAGAGAAGGAAGACCGTCAAATAAAACCCCGAGAATTTGAGTGGTAAACCACCTAAGGCCTCAACAGGTTGAGCGTGGTAGGGAGCTGTGCGACAGCAGAGCCACCTACCTACGTGTCTACCCCCGGGGTGTATTGAACCGATATTGTGATTCCAGCCGCGGGTACTATGAAGTGCAAAGGGCAGGTTTTTTCTAACACATGACTGTAACAAGAACAGTCCACAGAATCAACAAAGTATATAAAGATTGTCTAAATATCCTTTTTCGGTATGGATATTTTCCTAATTTTTCGCTCTGTCTCTTTCGTTGCCTGGTTGCCTGTCGCCAGTCAAAACTAGTCTCGGTGCTTTATAACACAAGCTTTGCTCTGTTTCGTCTGACAGGTGTTATTATCTGGCATTCACTTATTCTCACGGGAAACGATTTGCCGAATGTTCCGCCCTGCTCTCTCGTGCCAAACATCATGCTGAAGAGGCAGTTCACTCCCTCTCGCCTGATACCGCCCCATGGACCTCACTGGAAGCTTCGGCTGCCCCCGGTCCGTCTTCAGAGCAGCTCACACAAGCCCTGAGCAACACTTTACTGGTCCAGATTGCAGCCGAGGATCTCACATGCCGGGCAGTTTACATGTTGGATTTGTCTGATTCCACCGGTGGTACCGAACCGACGGTACCAACCGAGACAGAGGGGAAGTTGACCAATAAGGTGAGTTGCTATCGGAGAATCTCCTCTTTTTTGTTCCTCCTTGGGACATTTCTTTTGTATTTCGGAAACAAATTTAACGATCAATGCAATCGTGTACAAAGCGAAAAAGCGCGAACATTTGTTCCGCCCTTGATGAGTTTTATCAGCAGTCCACGAATCCATCAACCGAACAGACGATTGTGCCTGTGACCTCGCACAGGTAAAACGCAACCACACTACCTACTTAACCACCTGGTCATATTTTGAACCGTGATCACGCAAGTAGTTCTGTGCTTTTGTTCATACTTCGACTGCTCGTCATCTGTTAAGGCTTCGATTTGTTGTCCTCCACCTCCGATCAAAAGAAACTGAACAAGGCCATACTTGACGCGCTGTTAATGAATCTGAGCCCCCCCCCCAAGCTACATCTAACGGTTTTCATCGAACGGTGGATCCCGGTGACCACGAAATTCTACCTCTGTACGGCGCAGCATACCCGTTTATTTAGTGAAAGAAGTTGAACAGACTTTCTCGTCATCGAGACAAGGGAGATATTTTCGAGTGAATTT